ATTTTGAATTTTGGTGTTTTGAGCATGTGAACTGATTTGGTCATGACTCAAGACTGGCTAAAATGGCAAATAGCTTGCTTGTGAATAACAATGTATCTTGCCAGGTCTTCCTATTTATTTCTCTGATCTTTGAAATAGATTTAAACAACTCCCCCCCAACACACATACACAAAATTAGCAGTTCTGCAAATATTTATCAGCACAATCAAAAAAATCTCGTTCTCTGCATAGTACCCTGAGTAATAATAGCACAAAAGTGAAATATACCAAGAGTATAGGCATTAACATTTACCAAGTGATTGGCTAGAATGTAATAGATAGAAGGCATTTGCCATTAGAAACCTCTTAATCATCTTTTTTTTCCCTTTCCATTTGCAGGTATTTATTTCTGGTCAAGGGAAGCCAAGGGTGGGGAGCTGGATTAAACAACCCAGTAAATATGGTTGAAGCATTTAATCAATACTATTATTCTTTAAGGCTGTTGAAAGTAAGTGACTGTGTAGGGGTAAAAAAGTAATACCTTTTCATTGCCTATCACGAGGGTTATGGCAGATATTCCTATAACAGAAGACAGTAAGAGAAATACAAAACACATCTATTTAACAGTTTTATGAGAAATGAGAGCTTTCAGAAGTAATGGAAAGCTTGAATAGGTTGGATAAAGAATGGACAGTTGTGTAGAAAGAAGAATGATTGATCAAAAAGGGTATGATCTAATGGTATTTGATTGAGTGGGGGAGGACTCAGCTAGGCCTGATTGTTCCGATTCTTCCTGACTTCTTGGTGTGGCATTCCTTCCCCCACTATTCCAGGTATGTGGCCGAACTCCTCTGGAATGAGTGTCTTATGACTTACCTTCAGGTAAAGTTGGTTAGAACATTCCTTTACTACCATGCTTCACACAGAAAGGCAGGAAAGTCAGAGTCACCTTCTTACTTATGAAGCCCTCTTAGACTTCCTTTGGTTCAAAGAACTTAGGGGTAACATTTTCTGAGCCCCGGCAGCTGCAAATTCTTTGATGCTCCTCTTATCTGATGATAAGGTCTGTGTTCTTTTCCCTTGCATCTGGGAGGATTTGAGACTCTTGTGACCAATAGAATACTTTAGAAGTGATGCTACATGAGTTTTGAACTTGGTCTGAAAAAGTGATTCTCCTTCCACCTTGTTCTTAGAGCACTGAGCAGCTTTGTAAGAAGTCCAGCTACCTTGATACTGCTACACTATGCCACACTATGAGAAATCTACATCATAAAGTGAAACCAACATGTAGGTGGTGTAGCCATCAGCCTGTCTTCAAATCCTTTCAGCCCAAGTCCTTCCTGTCTTCCTAGCTGAGGCTCCAGCCAACATAAAGCAGAGAAAAGTTGTTTTTGCACTGACCTCTCTGTATTCCTGATCCACATGACCAGTGAACATAATAAAATGGCTGTTTGGGGGCCACTAATTTTAAGGTGGTCTGTATCATTGCAATATTAACCAAAACAGCCTTCCTCTCCTGTGCTTCCACTCATTTGCCCAGGGCCCAAAGTTCAACAATATGTATTGTTTCAAAATAATAACTGAAAATATATAGAATTTTGGCTACGAATAAGACCTTAAATTGTATCTAATCGAGATTTCTCCTAAATCGAGTAATTTCCACAGTCATATTTGCATACAATCTATACTATTATTAATCAATAATGCTATTCCGATTATCATGACTCATTTTACTATTTAGCCTTATTTTAAGGGATACTAGTCATGATTTCAGAATTGTGATATTAAGTTCTATTTTTCTAACATGATAAATACTCATAAGTATAAACATAAAGATCATACCCATGTATCACCAAATAATGTATCACATATTACTAGTATTATACGTACCCAATTTTGAAAATAATAATTTGATATAAACCTTCTATAGGACAGAGAACTCCCTCTAGTTATAGACTAATTGTGTTCTTGGCTCTTTTCATGTCTAAGATTGAAGAATGAAAAACATTCTATTATTCTGCCAACTTCTTGTTTTGACTGTTTCTCCATAAGCATCTGTTGTCATTTACACTTTGTCTAAAGCTATGCATTTTACTTATTTTGTTTCTACTAACTAAATTTTATACCTTGCCCTTCTCACATATAAGAGTCCACCTGTGATGATAACTCTTCCTTCAACTGCTGACACTAGTCTTTACAAACTTGTTCCTGTCTACTCCCAATAAAATGGAAATAAGCCAGAAAGGATGGTTGGAACTCTTTTCTGTGTATATAGACAATGTGATAGGGCAGATCGGGTAAAAAAGTAGCCCTGGACTACTCAAAGTGTGGCGTGGTGGCTGTTTATTACTTATCTATGGTAAGATAAGTACACACATTGAGAATCATCATTTTAAAAATTTTATACCAGTTTGACAGAATAATTTAATGTCAGTTGAATCTAATAATAATTAAAAATTAGAAACTTAAATTTCGCATGTCTTTTATATTTAATTTTTTTAGTAATAAGTTTTTGTTTTGTTATGTGTTTTACATAAGTATTAGTTTATAACAGACTAGAAATTTTTAAAAAATATTATTTACCACAGATAGTATCAGAAGTGCTTGTATAAGAAAACTAAATAGAATATAAGATGTTCTTTTAAAAAGGACTCAGAAAATTTTAAGAGTATCATCTCATTTTTTAAATGATATAATTTATGGATATTTTAGAAAAAATATAGAAACATATGCTAACATGTACCAACTTCTAGCAGTAATTGACACTAAGTGATGGGACATGACAAAAAAATGCATATCATATCTGGAAAGTTATTAGAAAATAAAGTGGAAATATTTGCTGTCCTACTATTGACTACCTTACTCTTTGCCCTCTAACCCAAACTCTATCAGAATTTCAGCACTTGTAAATAGGGACACACAGTCTCTCAACAACTTTTACAAATTGCTTCTGACTGAATTCATTTTATAAGACAGCTTTCAATTAAATCCAACATTGCTGGAACATAATGTTTTTAAACATTTAGGTAAAGAATGATAAGGCTTTAAAACCAAGCTAGAAACATGTTCTGTCATGCCTTGATCCTAGATTACCTAAATTTCTGCTTAACAGATGCAATAAGACATAGTTACTGCCAAGATGCTCTTGTCTGCCTCCAGTAATAACCAAAGTGATTCTCAGAGATCAAATGGGCTCATTAGACACTGAGACATAGAAACACACTCACACGTAATTGGTATTTTACTTCGTGGCCATTATCTATATGATGTAGTGTAGCTAAAGGAATAATAGGATTTGAAGCCAAATTTCAAGTTTGAGTGTGAATGCCAGTGTTTCGGTTGCTTCTACCTTCATGGTTGCTTTAAGAATCAGATATTGAGTATGTTAGAGTCTGAAGAAAGAATTGATTTCATATATAGGATTTTAAAGTAATCCATAAGATTTTGTTTCAAAAGTTATAAATGGACTTAAATAGAGGAAGCTGAACTCTGGAATCTGCTATTCCATTGCATAAAGGCCCACTTGTGGTTGAGATATACGGATGTCACAGATGGTTTCAGGGATACGTTTCTGACGAAAGTAAGATTTTTCCTCTCAGCGTCACTACTCACCTCACTTGTAATCTGACTTCCACACCAACCCACCACAGTCACATTCAATAACATCATTCTGTCTCTTGAAACTCACTTGTCTCTTATTTTGTATTACTGTGTTTCTCCATCTAGCTACAATTTTCTCTCAGTATCTTTTAGTGGTTCCTTCTGCTCTATTTAGCCTTTGGGTGGGTTCTTTCTTTGGCCCGATTTTATGTTTATTTCTCACTTTCTCCCTGAGCCATCTTACTAACTCTCATGATATTAGCTACCAACTATAACTTAATGACTTATTCTTTTTCATCTTCAATCCTAATATCTTTTCAAACCTTTAGCTATGTATACAACTGAAGGCTAGATTGTCCCATCTAGGTATCTTACCAAGAGTACCAACTCGAAATGTCTTATACTGAACTCAGTAACTTTTGCCACAAATGCTGTTTCTTTTCCATTGACCTTAGTCTTAGGTTTGTAATCATTATACCCTCAGTTATTCTAATCAAAACCTAGATAACCTTTTCCAGTATGTTCCCATTTTCTTTTTTTTTTTTTTTGAGTTGGAGTCTCACTCTGTCACCCAGACTGGAGTGCAGTGACCGCTACCGGCCACTGCAGCCTCGACGTGCTGGGCTCCGGCGATCCTTCCACCTCAGCCTTCCAAGTAGCCGGAATTACAGGCATGCGCTACCATACCTGGCTGATTTTCTGATTTATTGTAGAGATGAGGTCTTGCTGCCCAGGTGGGTCACGAACCCCATTTTCTAAACTATAGCCATCAACCATAGAATCCTTCTAACTTCATGTCTCTATTTATCACTTTGAATTGCATAACAAACAACCCAAACATCTCAGTGGCCTCCAACGATTTTTATGCATCTAGAGAGTAACTGTGCTCAGCTGACCTAGGCTGGATTTAGCAGGGATCCTCTACTTCAGGCTGCAAGGCAGCTGGGCTTGGCTTCAACAGAGGGCTAGATGCAGGTGTGCTCCCAGCCTTCTGAAACTCGAGGCTACCTAGAATATGTTTTATGGCGATGAGAGGAGCTTAAGAAGGTGACCTGCACAACCACATTTCAAACTCCGTGTTTAACAAAGAAAATTACACAGCCAGGTCCATGAAAAATGTCCTCTGCCTCTAGTGTAGCATCAGGGTACAACGTCACCTGGCAAATGTTGAGGGTGTGTGACTCCAAAGCAGGGAGAGCAGAAATTAAATTAGAGACTGATGAGCTAATCTACCATAATAGCTTAAATATGTCTTTATCCTTTTTCCCCCACTCTAAAATGAATGTCCCTGTTGTATGACTAATCAGCTCTGCTCAAACACTGAAGTGGCCTCCTCTCTGGTCTCACACCCACTCAAGCCCACCCTTGACAATGCAACCAGAGTACTCAATAGAAAACAGGAGAGTTGAATGTCCTGAGAGGTCAGATTGCTGTCAGACATAGCCCATGGGCATGGACATGAACATGGTCATAGTAAAATGGAACTTCCAGACTATAAACAATGGAAGATAGAAGGGATACCATTAGAAACTGTCCAGAAAAAACTGACTGCACAGGGACTGAGGGACCCATGGGGATGCAATGAAGCTTGGAGATACATGGGTGGCTTTGCGAACAATGTTTCCTTTGTTGGTGCATTATTAAAAGGATTCAATTGGGGATTTGCTGCATGTGTGGTAGCTGTAGGGGCTGAATATTACCTGATGTCCCAGAATAAAGATGAGAAGCATCACTGAAGATATTACCTGCAAAGATCTTAGTGGCTTCTTAACTCTCCAAAATAATATTTCTTCACTGTAACCTACTTGTCTGTGTGTTTGATCCTTCAAGAATATTAGTAAGAGTTAATAAAGAAAAACATACACCAAAAAAAAAAAAAAAGGAAAGAAAGAAAACACAATTTGGACCATGTAACTCCTTTCATTACAGTTCCTCAGGAGTTCCCCGTTGCTTACTGAATAAAATCCAAGCTCCTTAGCAATGCATACAGGGTTCTCCAACACACACCCTATATCCATCTTCTCCAACTTTTCTCTTGACTTTGTGCTTCAGGAACAAATGATGAAAATACACACAGCTCTCCTTGTGCTGTAGTTCCACAAGTTTCTACGTTCTTCTGCTATAGTTCACATCACTTTTCTGGAAGCATTCTTTTCTCTCCTTACTTATCTCACAAATTCTTGTCCTGTGAGACCAAGCACAGACGTCATCTCTTTGGATGATGTCTTTGGATGCCCTCAGATCAGCTCTTACTATATTTTATTCACTTAATTTTTATTTATTTTATTTGGACTTACCCAAAGCTATTTCTTTGCCAATATATTATCTGAGAAAACTCTTTCAGGAGTCTCTGAACTTGAATAGAAAAAATATATTTTTCTTTATTTTTCTAACACCCAACAGAAATGAAGCATTTCTTTTATTATGATTATAAGAAACAAATCACAGTACTATTTGGAGTGCTTTGTCACAAATAGAAATTGCAAATAATTTCATATCATAGTACAATTTTTGTAGATAATTCAACATTCCAAAAGCCATTAACTCTTACTGATGGCACTAATAAAGAAGCTTATTCATTACTGTATCAAAAAATTAAAAATGTTTTGATACTTGTTTTCAATATAACTGCTTTATTTCCTTCCCATATACTTTGTCTCTGAAAACATTTTTTAAGGCATTAACAAATGCTAAAGAGATCACTATCACTCAGAAAATTAAGAACCCTGAATGATGCTTCTCTCTTGGCAGTTTGACAATTTCATTGCAAGAACTGGAGAGTTCAAAACCTAGATGAATATCTGAGTCAAAAATATTCATCTCTTTCTTTTTAAAATTTTTAATTCGTTTTTTATTATGGTTTTTGTTTCTTTGTTTGGAAGAGGCAACACATTTGCAAAATAAAAATGCGGAAGATATAAAAATTATATAGTTAAAAGTCTCCTTGGAAAACTAACTTATTCCCCCTATAGAATAAACCAGTGTGATGACTTTTTGTTTCTATTTACAGGGACATTCTATCCCTGTGCAAGCAGATGGTTTGTGGGGAGATGGGTGTGTGTAAACACAAAAGGAAAATTGTAAAATATATCAAAACACACACACACACACACACACACACACACACACACACACACACACAGAGAGGCATATACATTTTCCTTTTGTCATCTCAGTTGGTGGTATACCTCACATTGTTCTTCACTTTCTTTTACTAAATAATAAACATCTCTTATTAATTCAAAATTATTGTTGGAGATTAAAATAAGAACTCCTTGACATTCCACTTCATTTTTTTTTTTTTTTGAGTTGGAGTCTCACTCTGTCGCCCAGACTGGAGTGCAGTGGCTGCTCCTGGCCACCGCAGCCTCGACCTGCTGGGCTCCGGCGATCCTTCCGCCTCAGCCTTCTGAGTAGCCGGAATTACAGGCATGCACTACCACGCCCGGCTGATTTTTGGATTTATTGTAGAGATGAGGTCTCGCTGCCCAGGCGGGTCTCGAACCCGCGGGCTCAGGCAATCCACTCACCTCAGCCTCCCAAAGGCGCGGGATTACAGGCTGAGCCACCAAGCCCGGCTCCACTTCACTTTTTTATTCCATATTAAAAAAAAAAGAAGATTGTAAACAAAACAAAATTTAAAAAAAAACCCAAAAAACTAAGCATAGCTCACCATACACTGTCTCAAGAACAGTTTTATTTTATTTTGAACTTTAAATCTTCAACATGAATCTGAGCGCACTGGCCAATCGTTGTAAGTAGCTTATAGTAAATAACACGAGGTGCTCCTCTGGGCATTGCTAATGGAAGCTGATTTTTAACTTAGGTAGTTTAAAGTTCAGCTTCTAAAAAGTAAATTGCTCAATAATACTGTTTATTCTTTTTAAATTAATTGTTAATTGTTTTTTTTTTAACTAATTAATTCCAGAGTTGGATTACAGTATGTCTATTCAAGGGAATTTAATTCAATGTTTAAAATAGTGCCATTGAAAACAATACAGTAAGAATGCTCACAATGTCAGTGAGAACGACACAGAGTTTCATAATTTAATTCTAAATTTGTATTTTAAAACTTAATATAGAAAACAAAAGAGTGAAAGAAATAAATGTCTCTGTTGTAAAATTATGGTCGATATTTATTTTCTTCTATAAGTCAGTTTGCATTTTTCCAAGTTATAGTAATTCTGAATAATCATAATTATTAGAAAAAAAAGAAGTAAATCACCAAAAATCTAAACTGAGGGTGTCAAAGACAGAGAAAAAGGCAATGAAGCAGAGAAAAGATAAATTAGGGCTGTATGAAATAACTAAATACAGACAGAAAACAGAGAAAATTCACAGGAAACTCATTCAAAAAGCAGACTCCTCTAGCAACTGAGACTAAATTCAACTCCTGAATAAGAGCTTGAGAAGTATCAAAAGAAAAGACATCTTGCTTCAGCTCAGCACAGCAGTGATCAGGCATCACTTGGGCAATGTACGTCCAACACAGACAGATGCAAAAGCCCGGGTCTGAGGTGCGCAGGGACCAGGGTTTATAATAACTGCACGTGGATTTTCATGAGCAGAATATCCACATGCAACCCGAGAGGGAGAATGTGGAGTCTGGGGGAGCAAGCTCACATCACTAGCCTCAGCACTTATGTCCTGGGTATCCACCGGGTGGAGTAGGGAAGAAGCAAGTTGAAGGAGGATAGTTGGAGGCCAGAGTTTGCAAACAAAAGAATGGAAGGGCAAAAACATCAAGGTGTACTAAAAATATCACATTTTGCTTAAAATAAACAATAAACAAGTAGTAATAGCCCAATATATAAGATATGTTTCAGACACCCTATAAAATTGGAAACATTTGCAAGATAAAATAAAACTCCTGCAGAAGTAATGCATAGAATGACATTCTAACTCATTGGTTTTTAATACAAGTAGGGACTTATTTTCCATTCTTCACTATGGGTTAATTCCTGAAAGGATATAACAATAATATCAGCCCCTGGGCAAGTCATTTAACCTCTCAGAACCTCAATGTTCTCCTCTGTATATGGGGGAAACAAAATCCTGCCCTACCAACTGTATATACTAAAGAACATGAAAGTTATAGCATCTATCACGATTCTGGGAACTGTTTAGTGCTATAAAATAGGATTGTTATTTGCTATTATCCTTATAGATCAGTAAGTAACAAAGGAACATAGGTTCCTCTTTTCTTGGTTGCTTGGTACACTGGTTCCAGAGGATTCAAAGCTGGCCTTATTCCTAACCACCTAGCCACCTCCCATACTCTTGCTGATATTTCAGATCAGAACAAGGTTTCTTCATAGGTGGACTTTCACTTCTTTGCCAAGTACTGAAACAATTCTCTTTCTTCTGGTTCTCTTCCTCCACAATTAACTGGAATGAGAAAACTAAGGCTTAGTCTAACCAAACTCCTAAAGAATGAAAAGATTTAGAGAAGAGTTAGTATCTTGGAAAATCCTGCTTGCTGTGGCCAGGCAATAAGATCTACGAACTCGACTCCCTGCTCACTTTTCAACCTGGGTCTATCTGGCATCTCAGAAGGATCACACCCCTCTTGCCCCTTAAAATGGTTTCTAACCTAAAGCCCTGCATATTGGTGTAATTTCCTTATATTCTTTGACTTCGGCTAAACTTCTTAATAAAATAACAGCATCCAATACTTCTGAGCACTAACTATGTGCCGGTTACTCTTTTAAATGTTTTACGTGTATTAATTTATTTAATCTTCACAGCGCTCATATGGGACAGATGCTATTATTTTACTCGCTTTACAGATGAGAAAAATAAAATGTATAAACTTAATCACGGAAGGTTGAAAATTAAACAAAGTGCCTGATTTGAAGGCCTGTGTTGGCTGGGCTCGGTGGCTCAGCACATTGGGAGGCCAAGGTGAGTGGATTGCCTGAGTCCATGGGTTCGAGACCAGCCTGGGCAACTTGATAAGACCTCATTTCTACAATAAATTTAAAAAATAGCCAGGTGTGGTAGTGCACACCTGTAGTTCCAGCTGTTTGGAAGGCTGAGGCGGAAGGATCGCCAGAGCCCAGCCGGTCGACGCTGGGGTGACTGTGAGTGTGCCACTGCACGCCAGCCTTGGAAACAGAATGAGACTCCAACTCAAAAAAAAAAAAAAAAGCCTGTGTTTTACTGCTGAGCTCCACCTCTGCTTCTGTCATAGAGAGGGACTTGGGGGGAATTTTTACCCACTAGATGCCCATGTTTGTTACTCTTAATATTTTTAGGTGCTTTTCCTGACTAGAAGTGAAGTCGACATATTGTTCATGAGTATGGATGCCTATGTGTAAAGATTATTCAAGTTTATTTTAATTTGTTGGACTATGTAAGATAAATTTACCTTTGTAAATAACCTAATCGAATATCAGAAAAAGGAGTCTACTAAAAATATCAAAAGTCTTGGGGAAAAAAAATCTCAGTAGTAGTAGGTTCAAGTCACTAGTTATAGCAGGGTAAAAACAGAGAGGTGGAGAGAGTGTGCCCCAATTGCAGTTCGAAGAATCCCAGTTAGTCAATAGACTTCTGTTCTTCACTTTTCTTTTCCTGTCATTATGACTTCCAATGCAGCTAAAAGTAGCAAACAAAAAAACCACTCTAGGTGACCATTTCATCAGAATTGTTGGCATCTATCTTCTCAGACACATCCCACTCTCAGGACACCCTGACTATATTAGTGGAGAGCAGGACCTCTTGGTGCTCTTTGCTTCTCTCTGTCCCATCATTCCTTTTGTTTTGGGAATCAAGAAAAATCAGAGAGAGGGCAGTGGGGAAACAGAGAAACAGCTCTTAGAGAAGACTATAAAGTCTTCCCTTTTTGTTTGTTCCTAATTATCCTTAGAGTAAAATCTCAT